ACTAAAGTTGTACAAGTAGCTTGTTGTACACTCTTCATATAATTACAAACTGTAGAGATTACTCTTGTATAATATCATATATCAAACTAATAAAAATCACCTGGCAATATAAGCCACCTTAAAAATAAAATAAAAAAAAAATAAACAAATTTGGTAAAATTATTATTATTATTGACTTTATCTATATCTAGATTTCAAAATTAAATTTTTTTCTATAAAAACAACTCTAAATTTCTGTTTTCATTTTTAATAAATTTCTAAAAACTTATTAAATATAGATTTTTATATAACAAACTATTTTATATTCTAAAATTTAAAAAATTTTTATTTTACTATGGATTTTCAAAATTCTTATGCTGAATCAAGTAAAAAACAATCAAGCAATATTCCTATGGATTTTGATGATAACAATTTAAATCCTACAACTTCTAATTCTGAATCTTCTAATCAAAATTCTGATTCTGAAACTATAACTGGTTCTGAAATTAATAATAATTCAATTAGTGATAATGATAATAATATTTCTATTAGTGATTTAATTTTTGATGAAGATGATGATAAAATAATTAATAATTATGATAGTATTAATATTGATTATTCAAGAGTAATTTATATGAAATGCAAAATTGTATTCTTAGCACTTTTGTAACTCCTCATCCTCCTATTATAATAATTGGTCAATTTTTTTCTTTAGAAATTATTTAAATAATTTCCTTTATCCTGCATCATTACCTAATACTTCAATTGAAACTCTTAAATATGCTATATATAGCAAAACAAATATTTATGAAAAAGATAGAAATCCTGCTTTTCCATATATTAATTTTACTGAATTTAAAATGAATTTAGCTTTTCAAATTTCTTATAAATTAAACTTTGATTCTTTTTTATTAAGTACTAAAGATTTAAGTATAATTGAAAGACCTATTCAATTCTTTTGTTTTACAAATAGAATGTAGAATCTAGATCATTATAATTATGAAACTTGGAATATTATTGATAATAATAATATAACTAAAAAAGTTAAATTAGTAAATATTCTGCATTTTCAATTAGGACAATTTGGTGAATTAGGACTTTTCAAAATTTTGATTTTTTTTCCTAAAATGTATATTGCAGAATCAAAAAAAAACATTTATAACTGATGAAAATTTAGCTATTTGGTATGATT